GCTACGATCAGTTCTGAGGAAGGGTCACTGAAGCTGAAACGTGACCACTGAGGTCTTTCTGCCGAAGTTAAATGTGGGTTCATTCAGTTATCGGACCCTCCCGGTGCCTCAAATTTATGTAAATATAATAATGCAAAGTAAGAGATGCCTTTGGTTTATTTGTCGGATAGAATCAAACTCCAACATTTGTTTGTTTTCTTCATATGCTACTGTACAGAACCAATTTGCCTTTGTGACTATACACATAGGTATTTTTATGATTAAAGTATATTTTTGAAATTAAGAGTTAACGCTGATTTCTCTCCACAGATACTGCCAGACCTGTTCAGTCTTTCCAGCAATTTCTGTTTTTGTTTCAAATTGAAAAATACTTGCTCCCAATTCCACTGGCATAATATATGGTTCCAAACAGAATATCCCAAACCAGGAGAGAAGTGTAGTAAAGCTGCAAGAAAGGATATTATAAAGGACAGAACCATTTTAGTTTATTTTACTATAGAGTGGAATGTACATAATGGACTGCACGACCTCCTCTGTCATAAAATTCTGTTGTTCCATAAAGCAGGAAAGAATAGATCTTTGATTAGATTCTTAGATTCTTTGCAAAATAATACAGATGAACTCGCTAAAGATCTGAAGAAAATATACAGGATAGATGAAGAAAATGCAGGGAATACAACTGATCCACATTTTCAAAAAGAGAATAACATACCATAGGAGCCATCCAGATAGGGAAATAGTAACAAAATTAAGAGGAATGTGGCCATGCTGATAGAAACAATTGAAACAGAAAGTAAACAGAAGTTTGTTGCTTTAGAAAAAATATGGAAAGCAGATTTCACTACCTCATGTAGCAATAAGGTTATGTATGAAAAGACTGGCTCACGAGTTGATTCGGTAACTTTTCATGAAGACAAAGAAAGCGAGAAACCATAACATTTTCCGGTGAATCATCGTGTGAAGCCGAGTTCCTGAGAATCTGGATGTTTCAACTTGTCCTTGCGCATCCTTCTCCTCTTTCCAGTATGCTTTCAGCATTTTAAAAAAGATAACAAAGCCTATTGCGTATATTCATAAAAAAGAATAGTTCAAAATGGAAAGTATCAAATGCATGAAACTTCAACTCTCACTTGTTCAATTCCGTCCATTTTTCAAAAAAAAAAATGTCCAAGTACTTGGGTCAAACTGCAGGTAGTGATAACGAGAAAAAAAAACAGCTGACTTCTTCCCAGTGGGGAGCTGGCTTCTGTTAAGAGAAAGGCTCCAGAAGGGAAGCTGGTACTTGTGCAAAGCAATATATTTATAACAAGACCCTTGTTAATCTCTGAAAGTTGTTTGCTTTCTAACTCATCATGTGGATATCAGTCTGCCAAACAAGTTAGCATCAGACAGTGTTCATGGGTGGGAGTCACAGATAGGGCAGAGGCAATGGCAGGGGATGGTTTTTAGGCTGTCATCACTCCCCTCGTTTGGACAGAGTCTCTTACTACAAAGGCCTCTCCCTGACCTAGCATACCACTGGCAAATGTGGTGCAGGGTGGCCTGAGGGTATGAGAATAATATTTAGTTCCCATTTAATCCCTGAGCCATCACAAAATGGTGGACTCTGCAAAAATGGGTGTCAACTGGATCCCTAATGAGTCTAACTGACATTCTGCTACTAGTGGCCAAGAATCCTGTGTCAGTCTGTTTTGCCCTCTGACTAAACCAGGGGAAGTTTGTTGCTGCTGGGAGACTGATGCAGGGCCTCTACATGGCTGGGCTTAGCCAGTATATTTCCTGCTGTGACAGACTGCGTAAAATCTATCTCCCATATACAAATTAGGTTAGTGTGCAACATTAGGGTAATCGTAACATTGGTACTCAATCTTTTCAGGCTTAAGAGGTCGCAGGAGTATGTTGCTGAAGGAACATTGTTGGTTTGCTGCTCTGCATTCTGTAGTTTGAGCTTAGTTTTAATTCACTCGTGGGATGTGGGTGTCGCTGGCTGGCCAGCATTTATCGTCTGTGCCTGGATGCGTTTGAGAAGGTAGTAGTGAGCTGCCTTCTGGAACCACTGCAGTCCATGTGCTGTAGGCAGACCCATAATTCCTTAAGGAAGGAAATTCCAGGATTTTGGCCCAACAATAGTGAAGGAATAGTGGTATATTTCCCAGTCAGCATGGTAAGTGGCTTGGAGGGGAACTTGTAGGTGCTGGTCTTCCTATTTATCTGCTGCCCTTGTCCTTTTAGATAGAAGTGATCTTGGGTTTTGGAAGGTACTGTCTAAGGATCTTTGATGAATTTCTGCAGCTCATCTTTTGCTTAGTGCTGCTCTTCGCCCGCCCTCCTGCACTCTTCATTGAACTAGGGCTGATCCTCTGCCTTGATGTTTGAGTGGGGGATATGCCATGAGGTTGCATATTGAGTTGGAGTATGACTGAGCTGCTGTTGATGGCCCACAGCATCTCATGGATACCTAGTCTTGAGCTGCTAAATCTGTTTGAAGTCTGTCCCATTTAGCACAGTGATTATGCCACAATTCTGGTTCTGGTTCAATTCTGGTCTCCCTGCTATAGGAAAGTTGTTGTTAAACTTGAAAGGGTTCAGAAAAAGTTAACAATGATGTTTGGATGGTTTAAGCTATAGGGTGATGCTGAATAGGCTGGGGCGTTTTTCCCTGGAACATTGGAAGCTCAGGGGTAACCCCATAGAAGTTAATAAAATCATGAGGGACATAGATAGGGTGAATAGCCAAGGTCTTTTTCCCAGAGTAGGGGAGTCCAAAAGTAGAGGGCATAGATTTAAGATGAAAGGGAAAAGATTTAAAAGGGACCTGATCGATAACGTTTTCACGCAGAGGGTGGTGCATGTATGAAATGACCTGCCAGAGGAAGTGGTGGAGATGCGTACAATTACGTCATTTAAAAGGCATCTGGATGGGTACACAAAGGGAAGGGTATACAGGGATTTGAAACAAATGCTGGCAAATGGAACTAGATCAGTTAAGGATAGCTGGTCGGCATGAACGAGTTGAATCGAAGGGTCTGCTTCTTGCTGTATAACTCTATGACTATGACTCTATAACATAATGGAGGATATTTTCGATGTGAAGATGGGACTTCGTCTCCACAAGACTGAACAGTGGCCACTCTTACTGTTACTATCACGGACTGATGCATCTGCAGCCAGCAGTTGGTAAGGATGAGGTCAAATACATTTTCCCTCTTGTTGGTTTCCTCACCACTGTTACAGACCCAGTCTAGCAGCAATGTCCCTTAGGACCCAAACAGCTTATCAGTAATGCTGCTGCTGAGCCACATGTGATGGTGGACATTGAAATCCTCCCAAAAAGAGAACATTTTGCACCCTTGCCACCCTCAGCACTTCCTTAAAGTGATGATCAACATGGAGGAACAATACATGGCAATCAGCTGGAGATGTCCTTGCTTGTGTTCAACCTGAAGCCATAAGACTTCATGGGGTCAAAATTCAATGTTGAGGACTCCCACAGAAACTCTTTCCTGACTATATACCACTGCTGCCACCTCTGCCAGGTCTATCCTGCCTTTGGGATAGGACATATCCAGAAATGGTGATGGTGGTATCTGGGACATGGTTCATGAGTATGACTATGTCAGGCTGTTGCAACCAGTGTTGTAGACTATTATCCAGCCAACCTAATTTACTATATAAGTAAGTGACCTGGATTTTACAATTAAGAGAACAATAATAAATTTGTTGACGTGATAGCACAGTGTTACAAACTAGATGGGCTGGTAAGTCGATAGATGCAATTCAATGTAAAAATAAATGAAATAAATTTTGGAAAAAGAATGTGGGAAATGAATGCTGGCCTACAAATACAAAGGGATTCTGGTGTGCAGATAGGTGCACATGTAGCAAGATTTATAAAAGAAGCAAATAAAATCCCTGGTTCCTATTTAGAGGGTATTAAACAGATGCAAAAAGACATTCAAACAGTAATTGGAGTACTGTGTTGTGTTTTAGGCACTTTATCAAAAAAAAGTTATGTAAAAAAAAGCCTTGATTCGTTGACTGTTAGATGAAATAAGGGGTGAAAGTTATGAAGAGACACCCTAAAGTTAGGGATTATTTTCACCTCAGTTGAGAACGTTAAAGGGGTGGCCTTAATAAAAGCCTTTAAGACTGTAATGCTTTATAAGTGAGGCAAATATAGACAGACTATTTTCAAATATTAGCAGCACTGCACAACTAAACTGCGAAAGTAATTAAAAGTACAGTTAGCATGAATTATTTTACACAGGGGGGCAATTGGAAAAAGGAATTCATCACCACAAAATGTAATTGAAGCATATTCCATAATTAAATGATTTCTTCAAAATATTCATATGCTTGGGGATCAAGAGGCAGCAAGGGAAGACCATAATAACAATTTACACAATGCACAATTGGAAGTTAATCTTAAGTCGTTCATTGATGAATCAATTTAGCGCTGACTGATGTACATTCTTTATATAAACTATAGCAGTTTAACAAAAAGCACATTTTTACAAAGCACTGAAAAATAAGACAGGCTATATTTTTATTTAACAAAACATAAGAGAATGCAATGTCACAAGAAAAAAATGATTTGTAACCCAACATAATCAATAAGAATTTCAAGTGCAGGCACTACTTAATAGAATTTGAAAGTACAGGTTTAAGGAAGAAACCAGCAACTTCCTTGATTACAACATTTAACTCATAGCAATGCACACTTAACCTTCCAACTGCCACATTTTGAAAAGGACAACAGATTAGCAATCTAGATCAGGAAACCCAACTTTCCTTCTCAAAATTTGGAATTTTACTTTGCAATTGAATAAAAATAATCTTTCAGACTCAAATCATACATGAGATTTCCTTTTTTCTATTTATTCTGATATTTTGATTTGCAGCTAAAACTGTAGAACATTACCCTGTTCTTTATGATGCTGTGTATGTTTATCAACATCCTATGCATCTCTTAGACAGTGTAAATTATACAGTGTACTCACTCTTGCACTCAATGAATTGTTGGAATAGCTCAGAGCAGTCCCCTCCACTCTTTAATAGAAAGTGCTCTATTAGAAAGAAAGAATCTTGAATTAAGTATTTGTTTTAGTTAGGTTCCTGCTTGGAACACTTGAATTACTAGCTTGAAAATGCAATCCACGGAATCAATAATGCAGATGGGTATTTTACTTTGTCCAACAAAATTCATAAAACTGGAGTTTACATTCCACACTAAATTTCACACATTTGATCTGTAATTGACAAAGTAAATTGAGAGCTGGAGAATCAACATTCTTTATCTTTCATAGATTCATTTACTTATGGGAAACAGCGAATTGGATTTTAAACTACATTCTCTCTCTTAATTCTGCCTCTTCCTCTCTCACATCTCTCTCTCCCACCCCTCCCAAATATTTTTCAGTAGGGATCCAAAAAATGGCTACAAAATAGCAACATTTTAATTTTCAGAATACTTGAGAAAGATTCATTGAGCTTTGCTGCTCATTAATATCATCAAAATGAATAGTTTCATAACCATGAGAACAAACTATATAAATAATAAAAGCAGATGCTGAAAATGATTTCGTCTTAGCTGTCTTTGCGTTTCTAAAATTTGGGTCCTGAACTTGAATCTTGGCCATAAATTTTTCTGAAGTTTGGAAGAGACCTATGTAAAACTAGTATGAAAATCTCAATCTAACTTCTGCCTACTAAATGATGACAAGGCTGGGGCAGAAGATGGCTGTTTTAGTGGGGTATTGTTCTTTTGAGGTTTGGTTGTACAGCATATTGATGAGAGAGTTTGATGTTGCACATGATCATTTTATACCTAACCTGTGCTTGAAATAGACAATGGATTTCTGAAATTGGGAAGTTCCCTAACATAAATATTCCTCTCCCCAAGAAGGGGAAAAAAATGTGAAAAATATAAATTTTGTTCATATTAATAGCTAGATGTACTGCACAGAAATTAATTCAATAAATTTGACAGCTTAAATTCATAGTTTTTGAAATGTTGCATTGGTACACTACCTTTATCTGTGCTTCCATTAATTTTAGGTAACAAGTCATCAACTTGGATTCCTATTGTTACCAAAACAAAAAATTAACTTTAGTTCTAATAGTTGAATGCTTGTTTCATGCTATCAATATTGTAAAACAAACTATAGTTTAGGTAACTAAGTGAATGCCGTATTCCAGTATATCACACATGCAAAACACCGGACTTATTTTCAAAGAAGATAACGAGCAGCTTTTTTCATTAAACATTGGCTAATGTGCAAAGATTTCTGACACCACAAGATGCCCAGGAAAAAAAACATCTGCATTGCAGTACTTGCATTAATTATTTTCATTTCAAAGTAAGTTTCCACAACTTTCAGTCCCTGCCTTGTTCAACATGTCCACGATAGCTAAATTATTTATATCTTTTCGCCACTTCTTTGATATCACATCTTTCTCAAGATGACTGAAACTCACTAGTGGTTTGCTTGAAATATTGAATTATCCACAAAGCAACACACAAACTCCTTGGAACACAGAGGCAGAGAGAGCGCAAGTGAGAGAAAACATAGACAACATACTGATCAGAAATAAGAACAGAAGTGCAGACAGGCCCGTTCAAAGCTATATCTGAAAATGGTTTACAATAGAAATTTTGCCCATTGTCGATATTTATATCAATATGAAGTGCAAATACGACAGAATGATATTGCATGAAAAGTGCTGCAAAGCTGAACCAACTGAATTGAATCATTGCCACCTACAAGTTTTATTTTGATCACAAAGTGACCAATGCACAGAGTAGGTTATATTGTGCTTACATTTTTCTCATTAAAGTTACGTTACTAGGCTAGTAATCCAGAGGCATGGAAGTTCAAATTGCACCAGACTTAGAGAATTTGAATTCAAATAAAAAGCTCTTTCAGTTGAAATAATCACAAAATCATGCAAATGGTTTTTTTTTTGAAAAAATGGGATTGCATTGTAGGGCACAGTCTACAGAATAGACTGCAATTTATACGAACTAATGGAACCAAGTTGTAATGAATGGCTTCTTACAAATGATTGAATTTCTTCCAGGTCAATTACCACATAACTCCATGGACTTTGAATCGAAGGCAGTTTATCCAGACTAGAATTTTAAAGCAATTTGAAAGTGACATGGATTAAAGTGAAGACCAATTTGTTTAGAATCAAGAGAGGTAAGTAATGAGAAAAAAATTCATAAAATTCTAAGGCAACTACAAACTTGCTAACCTCAGCAGTTGTTGCAAACAACTTACACCGCAACAAACTGATGTGCTGAAAGAAATAAAGATCACTGGAGATTAAACCTGTAAAAGGGCTGTGAACAAACGGGGCTGTTAACCATTACATATTCCAAAAAAAATTTTTCTCTCCTACAATTTCAGTGCAACCTTATACACAATGCCAAAGTCGAGTACATGATTTAGACAAATATAAATTTATGAAAAGAACAATCTACATACTACACTTGTGAGCTACTGTCTAGGAATAATAAATGAATAATGTCTACCTTTGTATAAGCTCTGTTATGACTAAATAAATTTATGAAAACAGTAGCAGTATAACAATTTCTTTTCACAACTGCTACCAACAGTCATGCTTCAAAAAGAAATTCCAATTCTGCTGAGTTTCTCTTCTAAAAATTAACATGTTAATGGATATTAGTACCTTAAAATGACGCATAATGAAAGTGGATGGGAGGAAAAACCTGTTGCAACAAAGCAAATGCACTGAACACTAAAAATGCAACAATTTCTGTGGGCAATTGTTTCCTCTTAAAAATGGTCTGGATAATTTCACCATGGAATTCACATGATATACTTGTTTCAACATTCCAGCTTAATACAAATGTCAAATGTAAAAGGAAACTGGAACTAACTCAGGGCTTGGAATGGTGTAACAGAGTCATAAAACCTTTAATTCACTTCGATATATACTTGAACCAGGCATCCATTTTAAAAACAAACATTATTTAACAAAAAAATTGCCCTCCACATTAAAATGTTTGCAATATAATACTAGAATTAAAATCCAGGAATCACAAAATAACATGATTGATTTTCTCCAGTCATCTTTGTGAATCAAGATAGCCACACAGACCAGGAAGAACTCAAGTCTGATCCTTGGTTTTTGGAGAATTTGTTTTCAGTCTAGGGAGCATGATTAACCCCAGTACTTCAGATTAGTTTCAAATCAGGGAAGATTAGAATCAGTTATTCATACCCTGACACGCACTAACTATGGGAGCATGGGAATGGGAAGAGATTGCAAGACAACATAAAGAGAAAAGAACGTGCACCAACAATTGTACAAAAGAGAGCGAGCAGTGAAAGAAAGGATGCAAGCAGAGCAGAAGTCAAGCAAAGAGAAAGGATGCACAAAGTCACTAAATAAACAAGAGAAAAGGATAAAATGGTAGCTAAAAGATGGAGGAATGAGGCATTTGAAAAGGTAAAACGGAGAAGAAAAATAGGTATTTGCTGAAGGGAACTAACATCACATAGAACAAAAGTCACCATTTATGCAAGAACTTTATTGCTGATTAGCAAACTTTGTTACATAGGTCACCTGTAAACCCTGAATAAAGAAAGTTATACAAAAGTTTTTATCTGAATTTTATCTTCAACTCTTTTTCAAAAAATGAATTGTGAAGCACCATCAGCCCTTCACCCAGTTTTACAAAATAACAAATTCAAAAGCAAGTGTTTCTCAGCTGAAGAAATAAAACTGAAGTAGAATAATATCCCAAGGGACACAGCACCCTCTGCTGGCCACTAAACTGCAATTTGGTGTTTTGACAGATGGCAAAAACGTGGGACTATACATAAATAAAATGTCCCCTTTAATTTTCAGTTACTATTTACAAATCAAATTTTATGCTGGACATGCAATTTGCTGATGAATAAAATTCCAGGTAGATATAAACATATGTATATAAATTATCATTTTGCTAAAATGAGTCAATAAATCCTATCTGCTAACAATTTTGCATCACTGTGAAAGTGACAAGTAACAAACTATCAATTTATGACGTGTACAGTCTAGAAATACCAAAAATCACAGCAGCAGCCAGAAAAGATGAAGATAGAATTAAAGAACAACAACACTGATGGGGGTTGACAACAGACTGCCTAACAACCATGATGACGTACTGCAGTTAAAGTATAAATATGGAAATCAGGTAAGCATGTGCCAGAAACAAATACAAAATTTTAATGCTCACACAGACTGGAGGGCCTAAATAGATCAAATAGTAAAAACAGTGAATTTCTGCAAAACAATCAGGACAATTCCTACAATGACCTGTTGTAGAACTGACAAAGAATGAGATTATACTAGGTTAAGGATGAATACCAAAACAGAATTAAGTCTGATTTGTCAATTGAGACCATCATATTTGAGCTTGTAAAAGAGAGAATGATGAATCACAAACAACATTTTAAAAAATTTAGTTGAAGGAAATATAAATGTACTAAGAAATAAATTGGTCATGGTAAACTGGCCTGATCTGTTAATGGGTAAAACAACGAACAAACAATGTGAAATATTCCAAAAGAATCAGGTTCAATGTGAAACCAGTTTATGCCATTAAAAGACAGTTTAATTTCTGAAGCTAAGCAACTATGAACAACAAATAAGTTAAGGGGCAATATTAAGTTAAATACTTACATAAATACAAGGGAAAGTGGAAATCCAATAAAATAAGAGTACTTCAAAGACAATGAAGTAATTGAAGAAAATTAATGCAAACATGAGCAAAAAAAATTGCATGAGATATCAAAGTTAAAACCTTTTCCATATATAATGAAATGGTTAATTGTCAAGTAATTATAAATAGGAACAACAGGTGAGAAAATGACATGGAATTAAGGGAATGGCAGCATTGTCAAATTTATTATTTGCATCTGTATTCAATGTAAAGGGACAAAACACCAACAGTACAAGGGAATCAAAAAATAAGAAATGGGGAGAAACTTAGTGCAATTAACAGGTAAAAGAAGACAATAAAGAAATAGTGGTGTTAAGGTAGATAGATCACGAGGGTCTAATGATTTTTTTTTTTAAAACAAAAAGCAAATAAAGGACACAGGAGGAGGAAATTCTACATGGGCTATCATAATTTTCTAAAGCTCTATTTGGTTTAGAAAATTGCAAATTTCAATGCCACATAGGTCAGGCAGAATGCGGGTATCTACATACTTTGCAGAACATCTGTTCTGGAAACTAGAACAGAAACTATCATCCAAGACAAGGCAACTGAGCATCTGAAAATGTATGAGTTGATCATAGTCAATCAACAGACATGCAACCAACTTATCTGAATGTCTTGAAGTCATCAATAATAAGGCGAACAAGGGAGTATCTATGGATTTGGTATCTATTTCCTCTTGCATTGCCCATCCTCCCTTCATTTTTCAAGTACTTGACTGTTAGCATCTCCCAAACTCTTGCATATTATTCCTACAGCTACACATGAACCTCTCCAAAAAGGTTTCAATCCCTTCAAGAGCACTGAAAGACCCTAACAGAAGACATAGATAATTTGCATGACATTGCTAATGATGTACTATCACTCTTCATTCTTTATTTGTCTGCAACCTTAGACATAATGCAGAACACCATTCTCCTCCAATCCCTTTCCCTTGTTAATTCAGCCACTAAAGGAAAACTGTGGCCAATTCAGCAGAATGACTGATCTCGCACAACTGGCGATAAATTTAATTTCAGCAGTGGGGGTTTCCTTGGGAGGAACTTTTCAGACGGGATAAAACAAAATGATTTGTCCGTGCACTGTTATATGCAATCTTAAGAGCAGTCTGTTTTAGACAAATGATCAAGTTTGTCCAAGCACGAACATACAAAATGAATGTTAGATTTGAAACTAACCAGAAAATTTCATGTGGATGATCATTCAAAAGTGATTTTATAAATCCAACCCCATAGAATAAATTTTCTTGGTATTTAAAACTGAAGATATGACAAACTATTTTCAAATTAGACATTTGATGTATCAAGTGTATCAAAATATATTTTATAACATAAAATTTATTCAACATTACCATGGATTCAATGATTTTTTTCTTTCCGTAAGTACTGCAGTTTCAGATATAGCCCAGATATATTTTAATCATTTATACTAAACTCACCTATACTATTGTGATCCTTGATGTTTTTCTCCTGAAGTTGTTCTAACCGTACTGTATTTAAAATAAAAAGCATTTAGATTTCTTTTTCCAGTTATAAATTCAAAGATGAAAATGTACATTGAAGTGGAAAACTTGAAAAACAGAAACAAACAAAGTATAAATAATTATACAAATTGTCCACATCTAGATTTTTAAAAATTCATTCACAGGATGTGGACATCACTGGTTAGGCCAGTATTTATTGCCCATCCCCAATTTACCTGAAGAAAGTGGTAGTGAGCTTTCTATTATTAGCAGTATTAACACTAACTAAGAACAAAAACATTACAATGACTGCTGGGTGAACATTTCAACTTTAAGAACATTAAAAAAAAAATACCATTTAGAATTTAGTGACCAAAAGCTGTGATATATTTTGATCAGGCAGCACAGTGGCTTAGTGATTAGCACTGCTGCCTCGCAGCACCAGGGACCTGGGTTCGATTGCACTATCGGTGTGGAGTTTGCACATCCACCCGGTGTCTGCACGGATTTCCTGCGGGTGCTCTGGTTTTGTCACACAGTCCAAAGATGTGCAAGTTATGTGAACTGGCCATGCTAAATTGCCCAGTGTCCAGGGATGTGTAGGTTAGGTAGTTTAGCCACAGAAATGTGGAGTTATCAGGATAGGTTGGGGAGGTGGTTTGGGTGGGATGTTCTTCAGAGGGTTGGTGTGGACTAGATGGGCTGAATGGCCTGTTTCCACAATGTTGGGATTCTACGATTCTATTCTATAATCTCTTGAACAGTGGCTTTATTTCAAGCTACTGATAGTCTTCTCAATTAGCTTACACTGCATCTTTGTGATTTGATTTTACAGTTCAAATCAAAAGGGGTAGCACCCAATCCTTCCCAAACATACAGAAGTATATTATATTAAATATATTTTCATGTTAAAAAAGGATGACCTTCTTCAACTTAATATCTGTGGGTCTGCAACGATTGAGGTTAGTGATTTGTGAGATTGTGAATGAAACTGCTCATTCTCTCACTCTGACAGCCTTTAAGTGATAGTAAAAAGATTAGGGAAAGAACAGAATTTAGTTATTGGAGAAAAAGTAACTCAAAAGAATACCTAGAAGCTGGAAACATGCATGTTGCAGTCAGGCATTTTTAAAAGTATGCCAAAGTGGCAACAAAAGCAGCAAGACAGGCAAGGACAAACAAAAACATACTGGAAAAATATCAGTAGACCTGGTAGCATCGGTGAAATAGAGCTAGAAACAAAGTTAATGTTTTGAGTCCAGTACAATTCTTCTACAGAACTCGGATTTCCAGCATCTAGAATACTTTGCTTTTACAATAAGGGCAAATAATGGTTTGTTGGAGCAATGTAGTGTAAAGTTGGGGCAGTCAGAGGTGGCGGTGGAATATTGTAAGAGAAGAAACTAAGCTGAACTTTTGTTAGATAATCATAAAATTGTAGGCTGATCACAAAAAAATCAGATCCATTTTATACTCAAAATATTGGTAGATTTACAATTTAGCTTTCAGTATTTTTATCAAGTTCTTTGCCCACAGTTTCCCTTTAGGCAATAATCTATGAAGGACTGCAAGTTCTATTTACCTTGTAAAGCTGTAAGCCGTTCATTGGTGAAATCATTGTCAGCTTGTAAGGCTTCAATCCTTGCCTGAAGTAACTGCTCCTTCTCTTCCATTTCATCTATTCTGTGCTGCAATTCTTTCTTCTCAGATAAGGCCTTCTGTTGAATCTCTTCTTGTTTCCCCTCTGCATGCTGTTCACAGACAAAACTGGCATTGTGAATCGTTTAAAAAAAGATCATCTTGTTTAAAGATGTTCCAATTTTCTGTAATGCAATACTGCTACTCAATGTTGTGTGTTCTGAGCAGTATACTAGAAAATTAAGTTTTTAAGATTATCGTTTTTATAGAAGAAACATTTTTAAAATTTTAAGCAATTTTAAAAAATGCTAATTGAGAAACTTTAATAACATACAAGAAGAAAGCGTGTACCAAGGTTAGTAGATGGGATGGAAATATCAAAAGGCTACTACAAGAAAAAAACCATTGAATAAATAAGGGGACGATAACAGCAAAGTCAGAACATCATCAAAAGTTAAAGGTATTGCTCTGGGGACACAGTAAAAATCCCATCACGACAGCTGGTAGAAGTTAAATTCAAGTAATAAATCTGGAAATTTTTTCATTATTCCTTCCTGGGAGGTGGGAGTGCCTGACAAGACCAGCATTTATTGTTCATACCTAAACTGAGTGGCTTGCCAGGCCTTTCCAAGGGCAGTTAAGTGTCAGATTGTTGTGGATATGGACATGTAGGCAGTTAGCAGATTCCTTCACTTGCCCAGATCCAGTAAAGAACAAAAGAGAAGTAGTACAAGTCTGTCACTGCTAAAGCTATAATCATTCACAGGAAGAAAAAATATTGAGATTCCAATTCTGTGCAAAACATTTCTGAAGAAAGGTCCCGACCCGAAACATCAGCTTTCCTGCTGCTCTGATGCTGCCTGGCCTGCTGTGTTCCTCCAGCTCCACACTGTGTTATAGAATACAGTATATTTTTGATTTACATAAGGTATCTTGTGTTGGAGATTTCTTTTCCCAACACAGACAGCTCTATAGATTGTGCACAAATGCTTACATGGGCCTTTATATTATTTCTTTAAAAAGAAGTTACCACAGTCTGCCAAGTCCCAACAAGCAACTAGATAATTATGCAGATGCTATGTCTTAAATTTTGTTATAATAATTTGGACAGAAGGTACACTAGGAGTCATGTGGCATTTCAGGTGGAAAGGTAGAAATGAATCTTGTATATGCTTTTGCTGCATGATGCAGGATTTCACGTCCAAGCTTTCAAGCAGATAATCATGTGAAATTTTTTTTTGATTCAGAGGGGTTTAGTACTGAATTGAAAGAGCAAAATGCAAGTTCAATTGAAGTTCTAGAGAAAAACATGTAAGAAATTATACTTTTCAGAACATTACTGAATTCTTATGGAATTTGCAGGCATAGCAACAAGCCACCAAACAGTTAAGTTGTTTTTTACCTCTCTCTCTCTGGTAAAAACACAATTCCAGCAGTCGATCAAAACAAAAGATAATGGCCACAAAGGTAGTGCGCTCTGGTAGTCTTGTGACACCTTGTGCACCTCAAAGACCACAGGACCATAAGACAGAAAAGCAGAAATAGGCCATCCATTGGCCATTCAGCCCATGGAGTCAATATCATTCGATCATGGCTGATAACGTTTCTCAACCCCATTCTCCTGCCTTCTCCCGTAACCTTTTGTCCCCTTACTAATCGAGAATCTACTTAACTCTATCTTAAATACACGCAATGACTTGGCCTTGACAGCCTTCTGCAGCAATGACCTTCACAAATTTACCACCCACTTGCTGAAGAAATTCCTCTTGAACTCATTTCTGAAGGATCGTCCCTTCATTCTGAGGACATACCCCCGGGTCAGAGTCTCTCCTACTAATCGAAACATCTTCTCCAAGCCCACTTTATCCAGGACTCTCAGGCTGAAAGCCTAAATGATGGACAAGCAGTAGGTATAGTGGATACCTTTCCTTTAATGACTGGTTAGAATTACTCAACCAAAGGATTGATATCGGGCTCACAACCAGCCTTTAGAAATGAAATATATTGATGGGTGTTCAGAGATTGATGGGGCAAGTCCTTAACAGGCATAAGGAGAGGGGAAAAGAAAAAAGAGCTCCTGACAACTTGACCAGGCCAAAGAAACAAAGACAAAACGAGCCTGCTTCTGCAAACAAACAAATAACAGACTGTCAACAAACCTGTTATCACCTGTCTTGGGCTACTTATTTTCTGTTTAGTTTACAAGTAAGGTAAATTCATCATAGTTTTACCTGAGCATGGAGTGTTTTCTTATTAGATGTGAATGGCCTAATTCTACTTTTCTATCTTATAGTCCTGTGGTCAATGAAGTACACATCAGATGACGGGAGAGGTTGAAAAAGGACAGTCCATCCTGGTATCAGCCAGTGCGGAAATTGAACCCTTGCTGTCGGCATCACCCTGGATTGCAAACCAGCTGTCCAGTCGACCATTGGGTATCCAACTGGCTGAGGTTACTATGAAGGACTCTCCTGCTCAACCTCTTCCTTCGCCTGAGGCGTGGTGACCCTCAGGTTAAGCCACCACCAGCCATCTCTCTCATGGGAGAGCATCTCTTCGGGACTAAAGTGATTTGGTTTATGCATTCTATTACAACTGTTGCTTCTGAATAAACAATTTAATAAATTACTTTAAAATCACTATGTGCCCAACTGGCTTTTTGAAGCTAAAATTCACTAAGTTGAATTCTGTAATCGTCTTAGTTTGCTTCTAAAAAAAATACAAAAAACTTTTCCTACAGTCTTATGAAAGAAATGCCAGTTTTAAAACATTGTCTACTTAAAATGCAATTCATTCAAGCTCACCTTTAATTTGTCAGTGAACTCTTTAATTTCATTCACAGCTCCATTATACTTATTGGCCAGTTCTCTCAATTCTTCCTGTGTTCTATCATTCATCTCCTTTAAATGGGTGCATTCATCCTCTGTGTTACTCAGACTTCGCTATAACATTAAAATACATGCATTAATTCTGGGATGTCTTCAGATCTGAATAGCATCTTCTCTACTTTTAAATTCACTGGGAAAATCAAGATTTAGTTGTTATTTGTCCTTCATAAGATCTAAAATAATGTACACTGAAAAAATTAACCCAAACAGAATATTCACAATTTATTTTTGCTGAAAATGTTGGCATCTCCACATAAAAATCCACACTTAACCAATTTCTTTCTAATTACTTTGCAGTATTGAAAGCACGCAATTTGAGTAGCATTTGAAGACATTCCAAAACCAGAGGACTTTTGTATAAAAATTTTCCAGCAAAAGCATTCTTTTAATACCATATATATTCATAGAATTTCCAAAAGTTGATACTTAATCATCTGTATTTTACAGATGCCATTACACTTTTTCATAAATATTGGATCCAGTAACCAAAGTAAATAGCACATCTGCCTTAATTGATGACTTATTTTGAGAAATTAATTTACATGGCACCTGCTACTTTTGACTGGCATTTTATATCTACTCGTCTGGGAAAATATTTATAACCCTATTGTCTCTCAGAACATACAAATGTCTTCATAAATCTCCACAGAAAATAGGACAGGCAAATCCACCGAATGTTTTGTCTAGATGCAGTATATTAAATTATCACACCAAGGTTTTTACTTTGAACAAAGCAACTCTAGCATATATATGTATATACATATATTATATATGTATATCATTGGGAATATTTAGAAATGTAATTACCTCCACCTCTGAGAGCTTCCGGACTACTTCTATTTTCTCTTGAAGGACCCGCCTCAAGGACTCTTTGGCTGTTGTCTCATAACTGTGTTTGTCTTCTTGTAATGTTACTAATTCTTTTCTTATGCCATCTTCAGTTTGGTTCTGTTAGGTACAAACAGAAAGGGCAAATATTGCTAAAAGAGAGACATGTTGTTGAAGATTTTAGTCTTGCATTCATGAGGACAGGTGCAAGAATTCAAACTTTAAAAAGGGAACAATAATTTATCCTGCATGAGAAAAGGGTTGGTTAATAAGTTGATTCTGATTGGTCAAAGCTTTGTCATAGAGAAAGGGTGCAAAGTATAAATATCTTCTTTCTTATTCAGGAAAGGTCCCTGCATTTGAATGTATGTGGTTACTAAAAAGTTTAAGCAAGCTACATTGCAAATAAATTTGATTATCTTAAATTGGTTGTTTATGGGATTCTTAGCATACTAGGGATTGTTCTGCAAATGAAAGGGGAATTATATAAATTACAGTTTACTTCCACAATGTATGTGAAATTAACGCTGGAACGTACACTATCACTTTGGTTGATGCATAAAAATTCTCTTGTGCAAAGATTTTGGATTAAAATTGACTGATTGAAATTAAAGGCAGAAAAATGGTAAAAACTTTTAATCTCCGATATGTATTAATACTTTTAGACGATGAATTTGCACCCAAATCTTGATACTTGATGGAAAATTCAACTAAGTCAATACATTTTCTGTTCTTCCCTTGCGGTAAATTTTGTTAACCTGTTAGGAGTCATAGAGATCTACAGCACAGATAAAGGCCCTTCAGCCCATAAAGTCCATGATAGTCAAAGACCAGCACCTAACTATTCTAATCGCATTTTCCAGCACTGGCCTATAGCCTTGCATGCCTTAGCATCGCAAGTGTACATCTAAATACTTCTTAAATATTATGAAGGTTGCTGCCCCTACAATCCTTACAGGCAATGAGTTCCAGATTCCAACCAGCCTCTGCTCCTTACTTTAAATCTATACTGCCTGATCAATTATCCCTCCATTAAGGGGAAAGGTTCCTTCCTGTATACACTATCTATGCCCCTCAATTTTACACATCTCAATCATTGTCTCCTTTCAGGAAAGCAACTCCAGTCTGTCCAATCTCTTTTATAACTAAAGCTCTCCAACCCAGGCAACATCCTAGTAAATCTTCTCTGCACCCTCTCCAGTACAATCACAGCTCTTTTATCATGTGGATTGCAAAACTGCACACAATGTTCTAGCTGTGGCCTAACCAATTTTATATGCAATTCAAGCATAACTTCCCTAACTTTATGTCTTGACCAATAAGGGCAAGTATACCATATGCCTTCTTAACCATTTTATCTACCTGTTCTGTTACTCAAGGGATGTGTGTACATGCAAGGTCCCTCTGATCCTCCGTGGCTCCCAGGGTCCTCTGTTCAACATATATTTCCTTGCCTTGTTTTTCCGCCCAAGTGCATCCCCTCACATTTATCCAGAATGAATTCCATTTGCCAGTAATCAACCCATCTGACTAGCTGTCTATATTCTCTTGCAGTCCAAGGCTATCCTCAGTATTTGCTACTGCACCAATTTTTGTCACGTCTGCAAGCTTGCTGATCAACCCTCACACATTCAAGTCTAAATCACTTACATTAACAACAAACAGCAAAAGCCCCAACATTGATCTTAGGGGGACCCCACTGGTACAGACTTCCAGTTGGAAAAACACCCCTCAACTATCACTCTGTTTTCTGCGACTCAGCCAATTGTGGATCCAATTTGCTAAATTTCCTTGGATCCCATGGGCTTTTACCTTCGCTGTCAGTATTTCAGGAGGGACCTTATTGAAAGTCTTGTTGCAGTCCGAGTAGATTACATCAAAAGCATTGTTCTCATTGGTATACCTGGTCATCTCTTAGAAAAATTTGACCAAGTCGGTCAGACTCCTATTAACAATTCCATGCCGACTTTTGTTGGTTAATCCCTCCCTCTCCAAACGCAGATTAAGTGCTGTCTCTCAGAATTGCTTCCAACAGTTTGCCTAGCAGCGAGGTTAGAATGACTGACCTGTAGTAGTCTGGTTTATCTCTTGCTCTCTTCTTGAATAACAGTACCACACTGGCTGTCCTCCAGTCCTCTGGCATAACTCCAATGGCCACAGAAAGGAACAGAATATTTTTGCAAACGCCTCTGCTATTTCTTCCCTTGCCTCACTCAGCAACCTGGGACATATTGCACCTGGTCCTGGATATTTATCTACTTTTAAGCTTGCCAGACCACTTAGACCCTCCTCACAGGCTACACTAATTCCTTTAATTGTACCATAGGCCTTGAGTGCCTTCACTATTAAAATATCTGTTTCATAGACGGTGATGCACTGTTTGATTGTCTAAATGTAGCTGATCAAAATATTTTACAACATTGCATTTTGAAAAATATCAATCTGCTCTGTTATCTACTCTTATAGTCTATTCAATTATTTCCAACAATCAAATCAGTTATCTCTTTATTTTCCAAGTCTTAGCATTCGTTGTCACATTACTATTACATTCCTGTCTCTCCTGGTAATCAATCTCCTGTTCTTCCTACCAAAGTAGTCATGCCTGCTAAATCACAGCTCAACAGCCTCCCCTTGTTTGGCCTATCCCTGACCCTGCTGCACCTCCTTTTCCCAAAATCCTAATCATGCCTTTATTATTCTTATCCTCTGTTTCTCCCAAATACTCACCTTGTCAATTTCATACTCTACAATCTACAATTTACTGAACTAGTATTTATTTCACATCATGTTGGGAAAATCATGTTGGCAGTGGATTGCAAAAGAAGTTTGTGGAAGGTCTACGAGATGGTTTTTTGGAGCAGCTTGTGGTGGAGCCCACAAGGGAACAGGCAATTCCGGATGTAGTGATGTGCAATGAGGCAGACTTGATAAGGGAGCTTAAGGTGAAGGAACCCTTAGGAGGCAGTGATCATAAGATGATAGAATTTAATTTGAGAGGGACAAGATAGAATCAGAGGTAACGGTATTACAGTTGAATAAAGGCGACTACAGAGGTATGTGCAAAAATTCATCCCTAGGAAAAAGATGCATGGTACAGGGAGGATGAGGCAACCATGGCTGACTAAGGAAGTCAGGGATAACATAGTAGCGAAAGAGAAAGCATATAATGTGGCGAAGGGCAGTGGGAAACCAGAGGACTGGGAAGCTTACAAAGACTGACAACAAAAAAGAGAAATAAGGAGGGAGAAGATTAAATAGGAGGGTAAGCTAGCCAGTAATATAAATGAAGACTGTCAGAGTTTCTTTAGATATATAATGGGCAAAGACAGGCAAAAGTGGACATTGGACCACTGGAAAATGACGGTGGAGAGATAGTAGTGGGGAACAAGGAAATGGCTGAGGAACTGAATAATTACTTCGCATCAGTCTTCACGGTGGAATACACGAGTAATCTCCCAAAAATTCAAGAGAGAGTCAGGGGGCAGAGCTGAGTATGGTGGCCATTGCAAAGGAAAAGGTGCTAGTAAAACTGATTGGCCTGAAGGTGGATAAACCACCTGGACCAGATGGACTACACCCCAGAGTTCTAAAGGAGATAGCTGAAGAGACAGTGAAAGCGTTAGTGGTGATCTTTCAGGGATCGCTAGAATCAGGGAGGGTCCCAGAGGACTGGAAAATCGCTAACGTGACACCCTGGTTTAAAAAGGGAGTAAGGCAAAAGATGGAAAATTACAGCCCGATTAGCCTAACCTTCGTCGTGGGTAAGATTTTGGAGTCCATTGTAAAGGATGAGATTTCTCAATATTTGGAGGTATATGGTAAAATAGGGCAAAGTCAGCATGGTTTCATCAAGGGGAGGTCATGCCTGACAAATCTGCTAGAATTCTTTGAGGAAGTAACGAGCAGGGTAGGCCAAGGAGAGCCAATGGATGTTATCTACCTGGACTTCAAGAAGGCCTTTGACAAGGTGCCGCACAGGAGGCTGCTGAGTAAGATAAGGGCCCATGGTGTTAGAGACAAGGTGCTAACATGGATAGAAAATTGGGTGTCTGGCAGAAAGCAGAGTGGGGATAAAAGGGTCATTCTCAGGAAGGCAGCTAGTGACAAGTGGTGTTCCACAAGGGTCAGTTGTGGGACCACAAATTTTCACTTTATACATTAACGATATAGATGAAGAACTCTGGGCATTCTGGCTAAATTTACAGACGATACAAAGATAGGTGGAGGGACAGGTAGTATTGAGGAGGTGGGGAGGCTGCAGAAGGATTTGGACAGGTTAGGAGAATGGGCAAAGACGTGGCAGATGGAGTACAACGTGGGAAAGTGTGAGGTCATGCACTTTAGTAAGAAGAATAAAAGCATGGACTTTTTTCTAAATGGGGAGAAAATTCAGAAGTCTGAAGCGCAAAGAGACTTAGGAATTCTAGTCCAGGATTCTCTCAAGGTAAACTTGTAGGTTGAGTCAGTAGTCAGGAAGGCAAATGCAATGTTGGCATTTATTTTGAGAGGAGTGAATATAAAAACAGGGAGGTACTACTGAGGCTTTATAAGGCTCTGGTCAGGCCACATTTAGAGTATTGTGTGCAGTTTTGGGCCCCATATGTACTGGCCCCAGAGCGGGTCCAGAGGAAGTTCACAAGAATGGTCCCAGGAATGAAAAGCTTAACATATGAGGAATGTTTGAGGGCTCTGGGACTATACTCAATGGAGTTTAGAAGGATGAGGGGGGATCTAATTGAAACATACAGAATACTGAATGGCCTCGACAGAGTGGATGTTGGGAAGATGTTCTCATTTGTAGGAGAGGCTAGGACCCGAAGGACAGCCTTAGAGTAAAGGGAAGGCCTATTAGAACGGAGGTAAGGAGAAACTTCTCCAGCCAGACAGTGATGAATCTATGGAATTCACTGCCACAGAAGGCTGTGGAGGCCAGGTCATTGAGTACACTTAAGACTGAGATAGATAGGTTCTTGATTATCAAGGGGATCGAGGGTTACTGGGAGAAAACAGGAGAACAGGTTTGAGGAACTTGTCAGCCATAATTGAATGGTGGAGCAGACTTGATGGGCCAAATTGCCTAATTTCTGCTCCTATGTCTTATGGTCTTATCTGCTAAGATACTCCTTTCCCCTCAAGTTTATCTTGGCCAAGTTCAACTAGTTTGAAACTTTCCTGATAACTAGTTTTAATATTTGATTCCACTTTTCAAATCTCTTCATATCTTTGCCTAATCCAACCTCAACAACACTTTCCGACTCCATGTCCTCAAGCATTTCCAATGTTACTGACAGCAAATTATTTCTTATTTCCTGCTTTACCATTAAAAGATGCTCCTTTACCCATGGTGCCTATCAATTGGCATTACTTAAGCATTTCTGTTCTGTCACATCCTTCAGTGACTTTAAAATCACTGAGAAACCTTTCTACTTGTCCAAAGTTTTATATTCCCCCTTTAAGCACATTTTCCTTTTGTTTATACTGCTCAGTTTGCCTTGCTTTTATCCACCAACCAATAAAGAATTGAAACTTCTTTATACCAGTAGTGCCGTAAAAATTAAAATTCTTGCAGCATTCTGGAAAGTTATAGGAGCTGGTAAAGTTGAATGTTGTGTCCAGTCTAAACATTTACATTATATTCTAGTTTTTTCTGTTTGAAATTATAGATGGCTGATTTAATTGCATATTTCTGTACACTAAACAAGCAGTTTTGCATTGTTCCATAAGTATGATCTTTGAAAAATCAATGAAACACTCTACCTCTCATACATGATATTAAGGCATAAATCAATTGTGTTTCAACCATGAGTTTCTGTGGATGAAACAAGGTTTTGCTGAATGGCCGATTTTGAAAAAAAAAGAGATCATGGGATATATCAAAATAAATTATGTACTGTCCTTAGTCTCTCAAAACTAAATTACATTAAATTCTCAGGAGTAATCCTCTTTGAAAATATTGAAGCATCAAACTATTTAGGTCATGAAGGCCAAAATTAGGATTCTAAGAAAAGATGCAGTGGGACTGTCAAAGCATTGGAGGGAAGTGGAGGGCAAGAAATTGCAGTCATGCAGTTAAAGAAAATGAATAAGCTGACTGCATGTAGGAAACTAATGTTTGCACTGCAGATCGGTTAGGTCAAGCGGTTAGATGGTTAGAGCATGGTACAGATTAACATCAATGGTGCTGGTTCAATCCCGGTACCGGCTAGAATGGTTCTTGGGCCTGAATACTTGTTGACAGAAAAAGAGAGAACGCACGCGAGACAGAGTGAGAGATTCAAACTACGTATTTACCTCATGAAATATATTCAATACTAAGTTACAACAGTTTGAAATTTAACTTTAAGTTACATATGTAAAAATGTGATACCAATGTAAAAGACTGATTACAGTGAAAATTCCCAGCTTTAAAAAAATGCATTTGGACAGAAGGGCCTGTTTCCATACTGTATGACTCCATGGCTCTAAGTAATTCACTAACAATGAAATATAGACAATACTTCAGATAAAGATTATCTACAGAATTATAGCTTTTAACACCTTGTGGAGTATGAGATCATGTCTGTCACATTTGAAATCCAGGTGTGCTTACTTTATATATGTGAAAGTGAAATTTGAGGCAATTTGGTAAAAGAAGAAAGTTAATTGTCTCAAACAGTATAAATGAGTAAGAATGTAGCAATGATCAAGCAAGAAGTTAAACGAAATAGCCAATATACAACCAGAAGGCAATCGCTGAAATTATGTATTCAAATTACTTCAATTGATATCTTGGTTTATTGCATCAATAAAAATGGTAATACAGGAAATAACCTTTTGGATCACCGCACAGATTTCCAAAAAATATTATTTCCATCTCCATAGTTTCATCCTACAATACTTTTCAAAGACTTAGCTATGTTGCATTTTAAAAATAAATAAAACTGTTAAACTTCTAGTCGTAACGATCAGTCTATGCTTCTATTTGGGATTCAACCATCAGTAGGAACAATTGATTACATCGTCTTCTTTCAATACTTTGCATAACAGCGACTTTTTTTCAGTACAGAACTTGAATCTTGATGGAAAAAAAAAGACACATTTTGTCAAAGATTTAAATCTTGCATTCATTGGATAATTCACAAAAACATCAATTTAAAAGGAAAACCATCATTTACATTGTATGAGAGGAGATTGCTGATTGGTTAGCAAATATACTTGAATTGTACCAGCACTGATATGGCTGGTGCTTCAATTAATAATGATTGACAGTTAACTACCAGGTTTTGTTTAAATTTTAAACAGGCAGGTTCACTCTGACTGATCAGGCCATTGCCCCAAAAAAATGAACCAGCAAGTAGCTGTTCCCTGTTTTCACAAGTTGAAACAGTCACAGCACGTGTTTTTACCTTCTGCAAAGACCAGAGCTCTGTGTATTAAACTCTGTAGTCTCCAGTAAATGCAAGTACAACACACAGAGTTTGATTGGCAATTCCAAATTGGTCGTCGGTGGTGTAATTCTTTGCATACTCAGTACTATTCAGAAAACTTATATTGAAGACTGTGAATTCTTGAAAGCATACCTACCTGATCTAATGCATGCATACTGTGATATTCCAAACAAATTGTATGATTTCACCCGTGACGTGAATGTCTGGCAGCTTTGTGGTGCCTCAGGGCCAAACTGGACATATGTATCAGTAATCCTGACAAATGATTGGAGTAGTCATCCTCAATAAGTGTGATGATATCAACAAAAAGCATGCCATTATTAACAACAGGTCTAAACTTGTATCTGTGGGACATGCCGCTCAGCATTACTTGAAAGGAAGCTATATTAAAATAAAATATTTCTTGGACTTGTGTAAGGGCAGTGAGCTTTGAAGTGATGTATAAGAAAGGATTTGAAATCACAACTCATTGTAACCACAGAGACAACAAGGTGCAAAGCTGGATGAACACAGCAGGCCAAGCAGCATCATAGGAGCAGAAAGGCTGACGTTTCGGGCCTAGACCCTTCATCAGAAATTCCCACGGAGTCCAGTGCTCACAAACATTGTTATTGGATTCCATGAAAAATATGTCTTCAATCCAATGACCCCTAATCTACTATGCCTCACATGGAGGAATAGGACGAATAAGCCATTCATCCCCTTCGGCCTGTTCCGCCATTCCATGAGATCATGGCTGATCTGAGGCCTAGCTCCGTATTGGGCCGAATATTTCTAATACACAGATGACATATTTGTCATATTTGAATATATAGCTGCATGCAAGAATTTTCTTGTGTCTTTATGGGCTCCATCTTGCACCCTAATTCACATTCAAAATGGAATAGTGAAATAAACTCCCTTTCCTCCATGTTCTGATTCATAAATTGGCCAGGAGGTTTTTCACAGCTGTTTACCACAAGCTTACTTGTACTGACCAGAATACATGTTTACAGTTCTACATTTTTATGATTAGTCTCATCAGCAACCTCATAAATAGGGCCTCAGCCATTTGTGCATCCTGCAAACCTAATGCTGAAATAGGGCATGTCAAAGCTATCTTTCAGGATAATGGCTGTGCTGATCATACGATAACTTGCTGAATTTCAAGTAATTCATGAAAGGCCTACAGCAGTCTTTGGCCCTACAATTAGATTAAGGGTAAAGTATCTCAAATGTTTCAGCAACAAATGTTTCATGCTACTGTACAGTAGTAAAACATAGATGTTCCCCACTAACAGAATACAAGCCAAAAGACATTTTTCACGCAAATGAGGAATGTGGTAAATGAATTTTAGTATCAGTGTGATGCCAAGTATGTAGGCTGTAGGTCCCAAAAACTGGTGGATTGTATAAAGTGATATATTCCTTAAGCTGTTTGTAACAAGTTTTGTACTGAGTGTATTCAATCAATCTGCACTTGCAAAATCTGCAATATAATATCCAACATTAGATGGATGTGTGCAATTGGACATCATTTATTGGATAATCCAGAGTGTGAAGAATTATGCTGACAATCAATTCAAGATTGTCAGTCAGGTTCACAGTGTGACGCATCCGCAGGTACTGGAAGCTAAATACATTAATACACAGAGCCTTGTACTTTGCAAAGAAAATGTACACATACTGTTTCGGTTTCAGTTCTGAGGAAGGGTTGCCAGACTAGAAACATTAACTCTGATTTTTCTTCACAGATGCTGCCACACCTGCTGAGCTTTTCCAGCAACTTCTGTTTTTGTTCCCGATTTACAGCATCTGCAGAGCTTTCGGTTTTTATGTACATATACTGTGCCTGTTTCACCTCAACAGAACAGGTGTCAACTATTCATTGGTTCATTTCTTAGGGTAATGCCCTGACCAGAGTCAACCTGGTTTAAACCTCATCAAGTCTAGTTTAAAATTTAATCAAAGTCCAGCAGTTAACTCTCAAAATATTAACGTTATTACTCTCTCAACAGATGTGGTCAGACCCGACTTTCTCCAGTGCTTTGTTTTTTTCTCCCCCCACAGGTCTCCAGCATCCACAATACCTTAATTCGTGCATTCTCCATGGCAATGTCTCTACCAATCAGAGTCCATTTGTCAACAATAACCACTATTCCACTCATGCATATTAAGTGTTTCGTTCTCCCTTGAATTGATATTGTTGTGAATTGTCCTGATGAGTACAAGTCATAAAGCTTCAACAAACTGTGCCTTTTCTCAGCAATAAATTTTGAAAATATGTTTATAAACCTCTTAACCTTCACTATTTCAAGAAAAAATGTTCTTGATGCAATTCTAGTGAGACCAAGTGAATCAAAAACAGTTTGCAAATACTTACCTTTGAATAAGCTTGTAACTGGTTTCCCATTACTTCTAGCCTCGATAACAACCTGTCTTCATCTATTAAAGCCTACATTAAAACAATAAAACACAGAAAATGTCATGTCAATCAGGGTTATCAGAAAGAAAGAAAGAAAGAAAGAACGAAAGAAAGAACGAAAGAAAGAACGAAAGAAAGAACGAAAGAAAGAA